GAACTAAACAGTTTTCAGCATTTTACACAACATTTACGCAGAAAATTAATATCTCCTAGTTTCACTTAATGTTTCACATTATCATCAAAAACATAAGTTTAGTCTCAAACTTTTCATTTCCCTCAAAATTTCATCTTTAATGTTAAAATCCGGAAACAAACAAATGATATTTTCCCCTCAGAGTTGTAAATATCGGCCCCACCTCCGAGCTCGCTTTAGCTCCGCCCTCCTGCTTCAGTAGACGTAACCCCGCCCCTGTGTTTATTTTGACGTAGCTCCGCCCCTGGCTGTCCGCGTGCTGCTGCTGTCTATTTCTGTAACGAGAAGAGGCTGAGACCAGCGGTTACCTGCTCACCTGTTGAATTAACCGGATATTTAAACCTCGTCCACCACTTCCGGTGAGTAACCAGCGGCTAACTAACCTGCTAACTAACCTGCTAACTGAGCGGCTAACAGCTAGTTAGCTAACTCTTGAATTAGATGTCCTGAGCTAACTGGGCTAACGGTTCTGTGTAACAATGAACATGTAGGTGAACCGGGTCAGCTCGTAGAACGGTTCGGTTCTGTTTTGTGATGATTGCGTCACTGGTTCCATCCGCGCGCCTGTGCGTGTGTGTGTGTGTGTGTGTGTGTGTGTGTGTGTGTGTGTGTGTGTGTGTGTGTGTGTGTGTGTGTGTGTGTGTGGTCTCCCATGGTAACGGGTCGTTGCTAAGACGGTGGTTCTGTGTGGAGGTTCGGTTCCGGTTCTGGTTGTTGGTGAGCTGAGTGGGCGGACAGCTGAGCCAGAACCAGCTCCGCGGGCTGCTTCTATCCGCGAGGAACCGAGTCCAGCCCACAGAACCACAGGTTCGTTTCAGCCCAGTCCTGTGGGACCACCTGTACCTGCAGCACAGGTGTGTGAACACAACACCTGGCCTTTAAAGGACTAGTCTGGTTGGTTAGTTAGTGTTTTCTCAGCGGTGACGTCACAGAGCAGAGTTAGAAGGGTCACCTGTGATCCCACCTGCTCACCTGGTGACGTACAGGTCCTGGACAGGTGGGAGGTACAGTCTGTGTGTGTCATCCAGGTGTGACGGGTCATACAAACCAATGTTTATACTTCTCATCCAACCACAGGTAAACTACAGGTAAACTACAGACAGGTAAACCACAGGTAAACTACAGGTAAACTACAGGTAAACAACAGACAGGTAAACTACAGGTACACTACAGGTAAACAACAGACAGGTAAACTACAGGTAAACTACAGATAAACTACAGACAGGTAAACTACAGGTAAACTACAGATAAACTACAGACAGGTAAACTACAGGTAAACTACAGGTAAACTACAGACAGGTAAACCACAGGTAAACTACAGATAAACTACAGACAGGTAAACCACAGGTAAACTACAAGTAAACCACAGGTAAACCACAGGTAAACTACAGGTACACTACAGGTAAACAACAGACAGGTAAACTACAGGTAAACTACAGATAAACTACAGACAGGTAAACTACAGGTAAACTACAGATAAACTACAGACAGGTAAACTACAGGTAAACTACAGGTAAACTACAGACAGGTAAACCACAGGTAAACTACAGATAAACCACAGGTAAACCACAGGTAAACTACAGGTACACTACAGGTAAACAACAGACAGGTAAACTACAGGTAAACCACAGGTAAACTACAGATAAACTACAGACAGGTAAACTACAGATAAACCACAGGTAAACCACAGGTAAACCACAGCTAAACTACAGGTAAACCACAGGTAAACTACAGGTAAACCACAGGTAAACTACAGGTAAACCATAGGTAAATGACAGGTAAACCACAGCTAAACTACAGGTAAACCACAGGTAAATTACAGGTAAACCACAGGTAAACTACAGGTAAACTACAGGTAAACCACAGCTAAACTACAGGTAAACTACAGGTAAACCACAGGTAAACTACAGGTAAACTACAGCTAAACCACAGGTAAAATACAGGTAAACCACAGGTAAAATACAGGTAAAACACAGGTAAAATACAGGTAAACTACAGGTAAACCACAGCTAAACTACAGGTAAACTACAGGTAAACTACAGGTAAACCACAGGTAAAATACAGGTAAACCACAGGTAAAATACAGGTAAACTACAGGTAAACTACAGGTAAACCACAGGTAAAATACAGGTAAACCACAGGTAAAATACAGGTAAACCACAGGTAAAATACAGGTAAAATACAGGTAAACTACAGGTAAACCACAGGTAAACTACAGGTAAACCACAAGTAAATGACAGGTAAACCACAGCTAAACTAGAAGTCATCTACAGGTGAACCACAGGTAAACTACAGACAGGTCAACTACAGGTAAACTACAGGTAAACCACAGCTAAACTACAAGTCAACTACAGGTGAACCACAGGTAAATTACAGACAGGTAAACCACAGGTAAACCACAGGTAAACTACAGGTAAACTACAGGTAAACCACAGGTGAACCACAGGTGAACTACAAGTGAACTACAGGTAAACTACAGGTAAACCACAGGTGAACCACAGGTGAACTACAAGTGAACTACAGGTAAACTACAGGTAAACCACAGGTAAACTCACTCTCTCTGGGAGGTGAATTATACCTGGATGGGTTTTTATTGTAACCACAACGAGCTGAAATAGGGCTGCCACAATTAGTCAACTATTAAAATCGTCAACGACTAATTTAATAGTCGATGTGTCGTTTTTTTTTTTTCTAATTTTGTATATTTTTATTGTCGACTAAAATAACTGTTTGTGGCAGCCCTAATTACCACTGCTGCACGTGTGTCAACGACAGAAAGGCAGACGTGGCAGTGGAAGGCGCTGCACTGTTTGGAGAGAAAAACAAAGTAAAAAAAAACAAAAACAGACGCATCAACTTTTAAATTAGTCGACAATTTTAATAGTGGACAATAATCGTGACTAGTCGACTAATCGTGGAAGCCCTAAGCTGAAATGAAACACTCCTTAACATTTTTAAATGTGCAAAGTGCTGATAGTTGTGAAAGTTGAAGAAGTTAAAGTAAAAGATTAGAAAAACAAATTTCTAATAAAGTATTTGTGGTTTTGTTATTTTACACGTCTTTACAACAACAATAAGACATCATGATGTGATTAGATTCAAATCAAGTTTGAAACTATTGTTCTGTTGTGATAACAGCTTCAAACTGTGTTGATGAAAACCTGGAGGTTTGATCCCACAGGACTGCAGCTGTTACAGACCAGCCTGTTTACACCTTCGGCTGTTTACCTGTTCTCCAGGAGTAAAATACACCTTTAGATACTTTCAGCTGCTGGAGTTTTGATCCCAAACAACAACAGACGACGCTGGAAATTTTAGATTAAATTAGTTCCAGTTGTGTAAACACCAGTGGGGATTCTTTGTCTTTATTTTCATCTTTTAGTGTCTTTTATTTTGTCGGGACTCTGCAGCTGTTTCCTGTGCAGCTGTGACAATATTTGGATGTGTGTAAATGTTTCTGACCCGTCTGTTTTCAGGCCCATCGGTGGTCAAACGGGTTCATTATGGAGGAGCTTCATGACGTCCAGCTGACTGAGATCAAACCCCTGCTGACGGGGCAGGTGAGGGGGCGGGGCTTAACCTTAACCTGCAATCTGTTTAATTCATTAAAGAATAGAAGTTTTACAACAATAGAGGGATTCATTAAATAATCTCTGTTCTTTCAGAATGGGAGTAATCTGCAGGACTTTGACTGTCAGGTAAGAGCTGAAGCTCAAAAACAGCTAAAACTGCCTATTTTTTAAAAGAGTTATCAGCCGAACCAACAGGAACCTCTGATTTACAGACTATCTTTGCTCCTTGAACGCATCATGTGTCACAGTCAGTTTCTGTGATTCTGTCTCTCCTAAAGCTAAAGAAACCTGAGAGCTGAGCTGAAACTGAGCTGCCACAGCTAAAAGAACACGAGCTAAAAGTAACAAAACACTACTCAAAAAACTGAATTAGCAAATGCTAGCTGAAAGCTAAAATTACCAAATGCTTGCTAAAAAATAAATAGCAAAAGGCTAGCTAAATGTAGCAGAATATTAGCTAAAAGTATCAAAAGTTAAAGTAGAAACTAATTAGCTAAAAGGTAAAAGTAGGCGAAGAAAAGCTAGAAGCAGCAGAATAGTGGCTAAAAGCTAAAAGTAGCATAAGAAAATGTAAACATCAGTTTTCAAACAGAACAGTGTTTCTGAAGGAAATGAAGAAATTGTTTCTATGTTGAAAATATTTAACAAAATAAAACATTTTCAACAGAATAAAAGCTAAAGGTCAGAGCAGCCGTCTCCTGAATGAGCTGAACGTTTTGATGTATGAACAGCTAAAATAACAGAGTCGTAGGAGTTACTGTAAAACGTACAGAAAAACCTAAATAAAGACAGTAGTGAGAATGCTGAGTCAGCGTTCACACTTTGTGTCATATATTAGTTTCCTGTGTGGAATGAGATGAGCTGAGGAAGAAGAGCAGGAGGGAATGTGGCCGAAGCAAAGAGCTCAACAAAGGCTTTGCTGTTCACATCTCCTCAGCCAATCAGAGCTCAGATTAATCCTCCTGATCCAATCAGCTCAGTTCTTCTCAGGCTGAAGGACGACAGAACAAACATTTCTTTCTGAAACCTTCTTCTTCCTGCCATCTTCTCCTGACCTCCTCCTCCTCCTCCTCCTCCTCCATCAGAATGAGTGTGTCTGTGGGTTTGCAGCAGATCTCCTGCTCTGTAGCAGTGCTGGTGAGTTAGCTGTTAGCTGTTAGCTCTTCATTATCCCAGCTGATGCTCTTAAGCTCTTATTTACGTTAGTCTGTTTACTTTCTGACCCGCTCGGCTCCAGGAACAAACCGGGTCAAACCCAGGTCAAACCCGGGTCAAACCCGGGTCAAACCCAGGTCAAACCCAGGTCAAACCCGGGTCAAACCCGGGTCAAACACAAACCTGAGGACAACAAAGAAAATCAAACTTCATCCTTTAGGTTTTAAATCACTCTGGTTGTTTACTTTGTAAAGTTTCTGCAGCTCGTTGTGTTTGAAGTGTGACCTCAGGATGGTTTGATCTGAGAGGTCAGATCATCCTGGTTCTGCTTTTTACTCCTTTACTGAACACTTGGTTGTGTTTACACTGTGTGTTGTTGTTTACACTGTGAGTTGTTGTTTACACTGTGTGTTGTGTTTACACTGTGNCTTGCCTAACGATGGTAAACTGTGGCTAACGATGGTAAACYGTGGCTAACKRTGGTAAACTGTGGCTAACGATRRTAAACTGTGGCTAACGATGGTAAACTGTGGCTAACGGTGGTAAACTGTGGCTAACGATGGTAAACTGTGGCTAACGGTGGTAAACCATGGCTAACAATGGTAGACCGTGGCTAACAAGGAGATAAAACCTTCAGTCTTTAGCGAGGGTGAACGGATGCTTGTCAAGCTCCATCATTTCCATCGTTAAAGTGCTTGAGATCTGCGTCCTCTCTGGCAATTTTTTTTTATTTGTCCAAAGCCTCAGCAATGATTTAACTCCTGATGAGTTCTTGAACGCTAGCTTGTTGTTGTTAGCATTTTAGCAGATGGACTTTTGTTAGACCAAAAAGGATAAAAATAAATAAGCATACTTACTGCCACGCTGGCAAACATGAACATATATTATCTGTTCTGTTTGTTATGATATTGGACCGATAAGTATGATGTCATAATCTCCTGATATCGGACGGATAGTTATCGTGCACCCCTAATACTGTATTTATCATAGCTCCAGTTTTGTTTGTTCTGTCAATTTAATTTAATTTGAAGTCTCTACTTTTGACAAATAGAAACAGAAACAGAGAGGCTTTTTTAATACTGTCACCATGTCAACACTGAGGTGTTCTACTGCTTACAGTGAGACACGTGGTTTTAATGTGTGTGTGTGTGTGTGTGTGTGTGTGTGTGTGTGTGTGTGTGTGTGTTAGTCGGACCGAGCTGCAGATGGAGCGTCCAGTCCTCGGTCCGAACAGAAACACCGTCAACACTCTGAGGTATTAGCACTGTCCTCCTGTCCTCCTCCTGTCCCTGGTTCTGACTCCTTGTGTCTCTCAGGTGTCCCACTCTGCTGGTGGTTGGAGACACGTCGCCTGCAGTCGATGCTGTGGTGAGTTGTTTCCATGACGACAGTCAGGATGATGTCATCCACTAAAAACCAACACAAACTGATGGATACAAATTATTCTGCCATGGTTTATTCAGTTATAATTATCATAGCTGAGGTTAGTTTTAGCAGGTTAGTTTCTTCTGTAACAGAACCAGGTTCTGTTTTCTCTGAGCCAGAACTACTGAGCTCGGTTCTGTTGGGTCTGGATCCGTCTGCGTCTGTCCAATCAGAAAGCTCTGTTTGATCTGCAGGTGGAGTGTAACTCCAGACTGGATCCCACCAAGACCACCCTGCTCAAGGTACCTATCTGTCCTCTCACCTGTCTCTTCACCTGTCCTCTGACCTGTCCTATGTTTATTTTTCTTCAATTGTTTCAGAATAAAAGCACAAAAAATGGTCATTTTCACAGAAATTAATTGAAACCTGAATAAATCTGCTGTTTAACCTGATTGGTTTAACCTGACTGAATTAACCTGACTGGTTTAACCTGACTGATTTATCATGATTGAGTTAACCTGACTGATTTATCANACCATCCTCACCTACCATGACATCGGACTGAACCGTTAGTAAACAAACAGGATCCGTTTCCCAGCACAGGCAGAAACTCAGTCATGTGTGTTTGTTTGTTTGTTTGTTTGTTTGTTTGTTCAGATAAATCTTGTTTCAACACTCTGTTTAACTACGAGGACATGCAGGAAGTGACTCAGCACTTTTCAGTTCTGCACGTTGATGCTCCTGGACAGCAGGAGAACGCTCCCACCTTCCCCACTGGGTACAACAACACAAACACACACACCATGACAACAACACAAACACACAGTGAGGTTGTTTGTTCTGATTGTGTTACAGCTGCTGTGAAGTGTCAGTCAGCAGTGTGATGGTGTGGTTTCTGTCTTTAACACCACAGTAACTTCACGTTCACACAGTTTGAAGAGCAGCTGTTAAACAGCTTCAGTCTGCAGAGTTTCACAGACTTCATGTGGACCATATTTAAATCTTTACACTGTCAACAGTTTTACACTCTTATTTCTGCATGAAATAAAACAGTCCTGCTGGACGTTAAAGGCTACATGTTGATAATCCATGGAAAATGTGAACCTGAGGAGGAGGTAATGGTTTATAAAGCTCTTTGTGTTCTTGGAGTCTGGACCTGTTTTAAGCTGTTGTCTCATCAGTCCAGTCAAAGTCTGTTTCCCCAAACTCAGTCTGTTCAGGCTCTGATGGAGGTGCTGCCCTCATGTGGTCAGAACTTCATCAGCTGACTAACTTCTGTTTATGAAGATCCTGCTCCTCTGACAGTCAGCTTGAGTTTAATCTTAGACATAAACTGGTGATAATAAGAATTAACTAGAGTAGTAACAGAAGAGGCTTCCACTTGGTGAAGGACTTTTCTTGTCTACTGATGCATCAAATTTAATCTCAATATGTATAAAAATGGCAGTGTTATAGTCAGTGGTACATTTTAGCTGTGGCAGCCATCTTGGATTTTTATTTTTTGATTCAGTATGTGATGGGCATCGTTCTCAGCAAAAGTCACATACATTTTCAGCCCAATGTGTTATAGCCATTTAAAATTAGCACAGACGGCCATCTTGAATTTATATTTAGCATTCAGAATTTGTTAAAAATTGGTCTCTACGGAGCCCGCAGTGGTACTTGGGGGATTTTTTTTCTTTTGCATTCCCTCGCAAAAGTCGTTGTGCCTGTCTGTTTATTAACAAACTCACATGTTCACCATTAGCNTTAACCTGATTGGGTCAACCTGACTGGTTTAACCTGATTGGTTTAACCCGACTGGTTTAACCTGACTGAGTTAACCTAACTGTTTTATCCTGATTGATTTAACCTGTCTGAGTTAACCTGACTGAAATAACCTGACTGGTTTAACCTGATTGGTTTAACCCGACTGGTTTAACCTGATTGGCTCGTTGGAGGACGTGTCTCAGCAGACGTTATTGTTCTGTTTGTCTCTAGATGGCGGACTGTGGAGGACTTCCACAGGTTGTCCAGGTGAGTCTGGGCCTCTTCACCTGAGACAGTTCAGACACKTTCCTAAAAACAAATCACTTTTATTCTTTCATGTTTTGTTTTAACAAAATGTTTATCAGAAATAAAAACTGTTTTTCTGTCTTCAGCCTGGAAAACTCGCTGAGGCCTTCAAGTACTTCGTCCAGGGGATGGGCTACAGTGAGTACCTGACAGATCAGACTGTGGAACACCTGAAATATTAAACTGGCTTTGTGTTCTGGATCAGATTTAGAAACAAAACACCTTCAGGTATTTTTACTGCTGAGGGTCCGCCTCCGACTACAGGTGAGGGTCTGTTAATCAGGAGAACAAAGGTCCAGTTGTTATATTTGTTCCAGGTCACTGAGGTTCTGACCCGTGTCTGCAGCAGGTGGTCATAATGTTCTGGCTCAACAGAGACGTTTGTTGGAAATTTAAACACTTTTAGTCATTAAAGATTTGGAGGTGATGTCCATCTTGTTAGTCACCTTTATAGCTGTCTTTGTTTGTTTGTTTGTTTGTTTGTTTGTTTATCTGTCTGTTTGTTTGTAGCCGTGCCTCAGTAGCTGTTGTCTGACTGTAAGTATCCGTTTGTTTCAGTTTGATGTTCCTCAGCTCACCTCAGACTGCAGCTTTATTTATTCATCTCCTCTCATCTTTTTAGCTCCTGTCATTTAACATTTTAATAATAATAATAACGAATTTAATTTGTAACAAACTTTTCATTAGAAAAAAATCTCAAAGTGCGACAAAACGACAAATGACGGTAAATAAAACTAGCAAAATCAAAAACAAAAGAACGATAAAAATACACAAATAAAAACAACCAAAGCTCAACTTTTAAAGTATCTAAAATCAGTGATATTTCCAATTTTCAAAGTTTCTAACAAACATTTATCTTTATTTTCTAACAGACGGATAATATTACTTTGATTTTGTCACAAAACAAACAAAAACAACCCAAAACAAATAAGTAGATGAAGATTTAACGGTCATAACGTCACAGTAAAGTTAGAATCGTGATTCTCATTTACGATTCAGAATCTATTAAAAAAATTACCAAAATTAATTTTATATATTAAAACCAGTTAACATTCAGCAGAACGCCCGCGTGCCGTTTTTGTTTCATTTTATTTTGTAATGTCCGTTCTGTGTCTCTGTTCATCCTGTGTCCGAACTTGACATCTAGACCCTCCTCTTTTGATTGACACCTCATTTGACCAACTGGGTTCAAGTATCGGCTGTCCAGAGCCAATAATCAATGAGAAGTGACCAACTTCCTGTTTCCGTCATCCTGGACTTGATTGACTGTAAAATCGGCCAGTAAGCTTCGAGCTTTGTTCTGATGCCACAGCTGTGTAGCCAATCACTGTACCTTTCATTTGGTGTATATATTGAGGGGGAGGGAACTTTGTTTAGTGACGGACAAGGTAAAAACGGACAAGGTCGCCATATTTAGACAGCCCTGCTATGCTAACGGAGGAAGCTAACGCTCACAGGAAAATGGTTTTTTTTCCATAGKTTTTTGGCCAGTTAGCTGACTAAACCTGCTGATAAAATGAAAATATATTTGTTATTAAGTGTTTCGAGTGCTTCAAGACATGCAAGAGTGATTTTTGTGGCCAGGAGAAGTATTTAGTTTGGATTAAAACACTTCCGGTCGCCATTTTGAGTCACTATTATTGTCATATTTGAGGGCAAAATATGCATCAAATATGAGTAAAAAAACAAATATTTTTTCACTGCTGGTGGTTTTATAAGCTGTGTGGAATGTTAATGCTCTGAAAGATATAAGGATATATTTGTTTATTCTTGTGGTTTGGCTGTTTGTTGGTGTAAATATTTCTGAACATTAATATATATTTTTAATTTAATCATGCTGTGAGTAAATATGGATGGCAGAATGTGTTTTGTGGGGTTTTATCTTTAACTTGAGCCCAGAGTGAAGTCCCTGTGTTGAAACATTTATAAATTAAAGTATTTTAGACAAACTGTACAGTCTGGACACACTGTACATGTGTACAAATATGCAAATGAGACATGCTGGATTGTACTATGTCTCAAATATTCATATTTTATGTTACTGTTACCAAATTTGAACTGGTAATTAAGTTAGAATAACTTTTAGCCCAGTAAAATTTGTTTAGTGATATCTCATTCCCTTCATGTTCTGTGATACTTTATTAATAAAAAATAAAAATTTAGGGAGAAAAATATCTTGATTGTTGTGTATTTTACTTCAATATACTAAATACTAGTTACAGTTACAAAGAATATGACTGCTGAAGTTAAAAATTCAGATTATTACTTTAAAAAGAGACCAAGCTTGTGAATTTACTATAAAGGGTTCAAAAGCAGTACTTCAGTACGTTCAGACATTAAAGACTTTTTTAATGATTTTATGTCCTGCCAGGACCTGGTAGGACCTGGCAGGACCTGGCAGGTCCTGACAGGTCCTGACAGGTCCTGACAGGAAGTAACTTGAACTGGTCTTCACCTGGTTTCAGTCTGAGGTGTTGTTGTTTCGTCTGTTTCTCATCCTTTCTTCTTCCTCTTCAGTCCCTCATGTTGTCAAACCCACCTGACCTGAGCAGCCAATCAGGTACCAGGATCTTCACCTCAGTCTGACCCCGCCCCCTCCATCTGTTTTCTGTTGTTCGTCTCACCTGTTTGTCACCTGAACAGTAAAGCGGTGGGCGGAGTCTCCTGCATGGTTCTGTTTCAGGCCCGTTTCAGCTGCAGCATGAAACCCAATCAGAACGGTTCTGGTTCCAGACTTCAGCAGGTTTTGTGTGGCAGGAACCTCCGATCCGGTTCAGTTTTTATGATTYAGACGTGTCGTCAGAGACAAAGATTCGGATCAGAACCAGAGAACAGAACAAATCAGAACCTTCAAGAACTGTCTGACGTGTTCCTGTGGTCCAAAACTGTTTGAGACCTGAAGTCCACCAGAACCACAAAGACCTTCTGATGACCCAGATCCTCTGCTGTGCTTCTGTGACAACACCCTGATCCAGACCTCAGTCCTGATCCAGACCTCAGTCCTGATCCAGACCTCAGGCAGTCAGACCTCCTGTAGTCCATTGAGGTGGTCTGACTCTGGATCAACAGTTCTGGTCCACCTGAAACCAGAACCTCACTGAGTCTCCAGACCAGGGTTCTCAACCTCCTGGACCTGGAGACCCACTTCCAGAATCAGAACCTCTCCTCACATCACTCAGTCCAGCTAAAAGCAGCTTAAATTTAGCTTAGCTTTAGCACAGTTAGCTTTGTTAGCATTTAGCTTCTATTGGTTTTAGTGATATTTTGCTAACAGTCTTGTTTGAGTCATGGACCTGGGACCGGCTGAAGGTCTAAAGACTTCAGGATCAGGACTTGTGCACAGACTTGCAGCTGATGGGTTCTGTTCTCTCCTGAACCGGGTCATCAGAACCGCCTTCCTCAGATTTGAATCCAGCAGTTCAGGTGATTCAAATCGCTGCGCTCTGATTGGACGGTGGCGTCTGGTTAACCTTGTGCCCACCTGTCGCTCCACAGTGCCCACGGCCGGCATGACCCGGCTGGTCCGCTCCAGAACCCAGTCTGCCTCCAGCCTGGGCTCCTCAGAGGGGGGCGCCCGCAGCTGCAGCACCACCAACACGCAGCCGGAGGGCGCCGCCTGCACCGGACCCCCCAACTCTGCGGCCCGCACCGTCCAGACCACGGCGTAGGACTCCTGCGGTTCTGTGGGTCCGGCCCGGTTTATCCTCCCGGGTCACGAGTCCACGTGCATGTTTCTGTTTCCTCTTTTATTCCTCGTKGTCCAAAGTTTCATTTTAGTCCGGACTCCTTTACGGGTCGGAACCGGACCTGCAGCCAGGAGGTTCTGTCCGTCAGCATGCTGTGGAGTCTGTAGCATGTGAAACCTGTGCCGTGGTTTGGTTCTGATGGGTCCAAAAGGTTTTGACACCTTCAGGTTTTATTTCCCTGCTGTTATTTATTGTGATTTCTACTGAAGGTTCTGGATGTTTCTACTTTTATTTAGTGTCAAAGTTTGTAAAGAAATAAACTGGATGAAGAAGCAAAGATGGAAGTTTAACGTTTTTATTTATTTACACAAACAGAACCAGAACTTTTCGGTTTGCAGCTCGTGGAGTTCCCGACGCTCCCGCAGGCGCAGCACAGTTTCTCTCTCAGCGTCCGGATCAGAACCAGGTGGTGTGCAGGTCCTCAGCTGGCGGTGGGCGGAGCCGACTTACTGCAGAGACGGCCCAGCAGACCGGCCATCTGCAGCAGGGAGTTCACCCCCTCCGCCACCCGCATGTGAGTGAAACCGATCTCCTGCAGGCAGAACGGATCAGAACTTTTACACACAGGCCAGCTGCTGTTTAACACATTAATTATTAATAAAAACAACTAACTTTTAGCTTTTAATCGTCTGTAAAAAATTCATTTTTTAAATGATTAATTTTACTGTTCAGGTCAATAAAACTAGTAAAAACCAGAAAAGACTTAAAGTGATCCATGATTAGTTGTAACATTAAACTTTATTTGATAAACATATACTT